ACGACGACGACGACGACGACGACACGACGACGACGACGAACGACGACCGACTACTACTACTACTACTACTACTACACTACTACTACTACTACTACTACTACTACTACTACTACTACTACTACTACTACTACTACTACTACGACTACGACTACGACTACGACGACGACGACGACGACGACGACGACGACGACGACGACGACTACTACTACTACTACTACTGCTACTACTACTACTAATACTACAAAACAACTACTTTTTCTTCTACTACTACTACTACTACTACTACTACTACTACTACTACTACTACTACTACTGCTCCTATTACTACTACTGCTACTACTACCACTACTACTAGGCGTAGTAGTCGTAGTGATCGTAGTAGTCGTAGTAATCGTAGTAGTCGTAGTAGTCGTAGTAGTCGTAGTAGGCGTAGTCTCGAAAAAATCGGGACGCCGGATGTTTGGGCAAGGGGCGGAAGATCGGCCACGCGCACAAGGGGTGTCAGGGGAGGAGGGGAGAAGGCTTCCCAAAAGCACCCCTGGTTCTCAGAAGGTGCGGGCCTTGTCTATAGATGCTGGCCAAATGGGGGTCGGGTGATTTCTCTTGTGGAATAAGCTTGACCTCGCGTCGGCACCCGCATCGCGCGATTACGCTCGCATCTGAGCGCGCCAAGGTTCGGGGCCACCCCTTGCAATCGACAGCAACGCATGCGCGTCGCACTCTACAGCGTGCCGCGCGCGCACCCCCCAAACTTGGCGCGGCCTGATGTCTGGGGTAGCGTCTTGCGCGCTTGGGTTTGCCCCCCCCCCCCCCCCCCCCCCCGCGCCCCCCCCCGAACGCCGCGCACCCCAAATGCCACATTGCGGACAGGAGCGATTTGCCGAACGCGTCGCGTCCGAGGAGTGCCCGAGCATCTCACAAGTCCGGGCCCCCGAGCGGCAGCCTTTCGCGAGTACCTCTCCCAGCCGAGGAGGCCCAGGCCCAGGCCTGGGGGGGGGCCTTTCGAACGGCGAGGTCAACTGCGACCAACCAAAAAAAACATGTCTCCCAGCTTCCCGTCTGGCGACGCGGAGCGGCCCTCTGTCCGCTTGCAGGGCACGGCGCGTCGCCAGGGTCGCCGCCGCGACACGCTACAAGCAGACGTTACGCTACAAGCAGACGTTTTTCGACCGTGGCTACCTGGCAGGGCCCGTTTCCGACCGTGGTTCGACATCGATGTCGGCCGGCATGGTCCGGGTCAATTCCGACATCCCGACGATGCGCTGCGTCCCCGTGTTTTCATGGCGTTGTTTCTTGGCGTGGGCGGTTTGACTTCGACTCCGCCTCCGTGCCGGTGCTGCGCTCCTGCTCAGACTCAGACCTCTGGCGTCTCGGAAGAGCGATTGGCGGAATCTCCTCGCCGTTCGCGGCTTTTGGGGGGCGTTACTGGGGGACCCCGCACTGGCGCAAATTGAGACCGGCTGCATGCCTGGGTCAGGGCGGGGAAAAGACATAAAAAACAGACCACGCTACAATTTGCGTTTCGGTATTACAGTAGACCCGCATGGTGAGGACGGACAACCTTCCCAAGGACACCCTTGCACCTCTGCTTCCGCGGTCCAGTGTTGGCCAGTTTCGCTGGCCGCGCCCCGTTCGAGAAGCCTCGAGATGGCCTTCCAAGGCCCTTGCATCCTCATCGTTCATCCTTGCGATACGGGGTGCCTGTAGGCGAGGGGAAGGCCTTTTCCCCGACGCTGCTCCGCCTAGCCTCGTCGGCGCGCCGCGCTGTGGGGGCCTTCGGAGGAACCCCGCACCCGCACGCGCGCCCCGCTCTCGCCCGTGCGAGCGGCGCCGACGTCGAGGAGGGATGCCCGCAGGGTCGTATAGGGACAACGATGCGCGCTCCCCCGCCTTCGCCTTCTTTGGGGGTCTCCTCGGGAGTCCCCGTCGCGCCGGCTGGCTTTCGCTTCGAATGCCTCGGTCAGAACGCACCCCGGAGGGTGGCGGGGCCTCGGTGCCTTGCCGGCTTCGGGGGGCAAGCAGCAACAGAGAATAAGTCAGGGGTCCGCCCAGATTCCTCGGATCGGCTCTGGGCCCCCCCCCCCCCCCAGCGGCGTTTCCGGCGCCGTCATTGGTGCGCTCGCCGCGCGCCATGGGAGGGGGCCAGCGCCGATCCGCGCGCCGGGGAGGGGGCTCGCGGAGGGGGGGTTATCCCAAGGCGGGGTCAGGGAACATATCCAACTGTGCGCCGCAAGCAAACGGTGGTCGCATGCGCCAGAATCGCCACGTAAGCTGCCCGCGTAAGCTCGCGCGTATAATCGCCCTCGCTTCCGATGCAGCGTGCCGTGCTGGCAACCCCCGTACGCTGCGGCGTAAGGTCGCTGTGTCATCTCGCGTAAGACCCGTTTTTGATCGTCGCCCAGCTGAATACACGTCCTTCTTACACCGGCTTGTTACGCGATGCTATTCGAACCCTATCCTTGCCCCTGCCACACGTTGACGCCCCCGTGACTTAGTTGCCCCTGAGGCCGCCCGCATCTACAGCGACACGCTTTACCGGAGCTTCTTCTTCGCGTCTGTGAACTTGGACCCCAAGTGGCTTGCCTGCAGCAACTTGGAGCGCGTCGATGCACAGAAGATCTCGGTACAAGACTTCGTCGCCCGATACGAGCGCCAGAGCTGCCCGGTCTTGCTGGCGGGGGCGGCGGCGGGCTGGGCCGCCGCAGAGACATGGTCGCGAGAGCAGCTCCTGCAGCGATTCGGCAGCGTGGACTTCACCTGCGGCCCCTGCGACTTGCCCTTGCGGGAGTTCTTCGCCTATGCCAGTCAGAACTCCGACGATGTCCCGCTGTTCGTCTTCGACAAGCGCTTCTCGTCGCGGGCACCGGCGCTGCTCGAGGATTACCAGGTCCCAGAGGCGTTCCGGGGCAGGGACCTCTTCGACCTGCTCCCCGCGCAGGCACGACCGGATTTCAGGCGAGCGGCGCGAGAGAACGGGCTCGACCGCGCCGACTTTGGCGCGCAAGCTGCTCGCGCAGTGTCTCGCGCGTGTCCAGTGCAGCGTGCCGCGCCGGCGGCCCGCGCACGCCACCGCGCAAGGCCGCTGCGCCCTCTCGCGCAGGACCCGTTCCTGAGCGTCGCGCAGGTGGCTCCTGATCGGGGGCAGGCGCACCGGCTCCAAGTGGCACTGCGACCCCAACAAGACCTCCGCGTGGAACGCGGTGGTGCGCGGCCGCAAGCGGTGGCTGCTGCTCCCGCCGGGCTGCCCTCCGCCCGGCGTGCACCCGTCGAAGGACTCGGAGGAGGAAAAGGTACCCATGATTACCTCTACCTGTCCCTCGTCTTCCCCTTCTCGGGCGTCCTGGGAGGCCCTCGTCGTCACCGCTGGATTAGCCTCGAGATTCTGGTCAGAACGCACCCCAGGGGAGGTCCGGGGAGGAGCGGTATCGGTACCTTTTTTGTTTCTCCCAAGGACGGCGCAGAGGCCGACTCCACGTAAGAGTGACCCTTCGCCGGTGTGGCCTTTGGTGCGAGCCCACTGGGGTCCCCGAATCGCCGAACGCGATGCAGTAGTAACTAGCGTCTTGCGCGCTGGTGTTTGGTCCCCCCGCGGCCCCCCAAAAAACCGCGCACCAAAGGTCACTCTTACCCAGGGTCACTCTGGCGTGTAGCCGAAGGTGACCCAGCCCGTCAGCCTCATCGAGTGGTTCACTAATTTCTACGGGGAGCTCCGGCGGCTGGCAGACACCAACCCTGCGTGGGACCTGAAGGACGATCTGCGCACCCTCTCCCCCTTTCCTTCTTCCTCCTCCTCCCCCTCCTCCTCCTCCTCCTCCTCCTCCTCCTCCTAGTCCTGGGAGGAGGGACAGAGGAGGGGAGGGAGAGGAGGAGAGGGAAGCGGAGGGAAAGAGGAGAGGGCGGGGGGAAGAGGGAGTGGAAGGGGGAGGGGGAGGTGTGCGGGGGAGGGAGGAGGGCTCGGGGGGAAGGGGGGGAAGGGAGGGTGGGGGGATGCGGAGGTGGGGGAGGGGGAGGAGGAATTGAGGGAGAGGTGGGGAGGCGATGGAGGGGAAGGGGGAGCAAAAAGGAAAGAGGGAGGGCGGAGGGGGGGGGGGGGGGGGGAGGGAGGAGGGCGAGGAAGAGCCGAGATGGAGGGGGGGGGGAGGGGAATTTTGGGACGGGCAGGGGGAGGGAAAGGGGGAGGGGGAAGGAGAGAGGGAGCGAGGAGCAGTGCCTCCCATCCTTGTGATATATCCTCCCCCCTCTCCTGATTGAGCCTTCCCGTTCCCTCCCATGCCCTCCCCCTTCCCCCGTCCAGCCAGGCGTCGAGACACGAGATGCTGGGCCCAGAACACGAGGTTGCCAATTCCTTCTGTCACAGCGCTTCCAGCGCGCGGGCACGAATTCTCGACGTCGGGGGTGCCTGCAGAGAGGAGAGTGGGGAGCACGAGGGCTGGGGTCGCCTCTGGCGCCCAAGAACTGGCCGAGCCGGGCGCGCCTGCCCCGAAGCGCCGACCGCTGCAGATCCGATGTGATCCACATCGGCAGGCCTTTCGGGCCTGCGCCCGCGTGCTCTCGTTGCCCCATCGACCCCCCTCTCCTCCCTTTTCTCCTCCCTCCCCCCCTCGCCGCCCTCGCCCCTCCTCCCCCCTCCCTGCCTCGTCCCTCCGCCCTCTCCCCCCCCCCACCCCCCCCACGCGCTCCCACCAGGAGGGCGAGTGCGGGCCTGGGGACGTCGTCTTCGTGCCCTGCGGCTGGTGGCACTGCGTTCTCAACCTGGAGGACGGGGGGCCAGTCCAGAGCCACCCTGCGCCTCTCCGCGCGCAGCACTTGTCGTCGTCGACGGAGGAGGAGGAGGGGGAGGAGGAGGAGGAGGAGGAGGAGGAGGAGGAGGAGGAGGAGGAGGAGGAGGAGGAGGAGGGGGAGGAGGGGGAGGAGTTGGAGGAAGAGGAGGAGGATGAGGACGAGGACGAGGACCAGGAGGAGGAGGAGGAGGAGGAGGAGGAGAAGGAGGAGGAGGAGGACCAGTGTAAACCCAATAGTCATCAACGATGTTGGAATTCACCCTCCCTCCAAGCTCCCTCTTCATAGGCCCTCACAACGGTACATTTCCATTGAGGGAACTGTTTCGTTGGAAGACAACCTTTTGAAGATCCTGAAGCATGCCAGAACATGGTTCTCGGGATTTCAACGCCACGTATCAACCTGATTGCTGCGTCTTGACGATCCGGAATCGTGCCAGAGCGCCGTTTTTGGGACTTCAATACCGCGGATCAACATAACTGTTGCACCCGCGTAATCCTGAACCCTGCCGAAACACCATTTCTGGTACGCTGATCATGGGAATCCGTGAAACTTCTGCAAAGTTTGAAAGCGAATGTGCGCGGCGCTAAGGCGAGAGCCACATTTTGAAAAGGAACCGCCCTCAATCCGTGAAACTCTTCGCATGTGTTGAGGCGAATGCGCTCGGCGCTAAGGCGAGAGCCACATTTTGAAAACGACCCACCCTTAATCCGCGAAGCTCTTGCAAGTTTAAAGAGCGAATGTGCGCTGCGCTAAGGCGAGAGCCACATGTTGAAAAGGAACCGTCCTCAATCCGTGAAGCTCTTGCAAATGTTTAAAACGAATGTGCGCGGCGCTAAGACGAGAACCACAGTTTGAAAACGACCCGCCCTCCATCTGTGAAACTGCTGTTATTCTTTTTGCCTTTGAGTCATAAGTGATGAGGAAGTCTCAGGCGAAACGCCCGGCCCGCCCTGAAAACTGGCTTCGGGGTGCGACAGGGAGAAATTATTGCTAAGGAGAAGGAATGGAGGAGGGGGAGGAGGACTCAGGACTCATGGGCCAAATGTTCGCGAAATGGTCATATGAGGACCTCTGCTTGGGACGTGTGGCATTCAGATGCAGCCTGCAGGCCAAGAGGGCCCGCTCGGGGCGGGCAGTGGGGGCCATCAGATCGTCCGAGAGACGGCTCGCGATCGGGGCGAAAAAACAGCAATTCGACACCCGAAGGCGAGACACTACACACTACACAAGAGCGAGGAAGCGCGAGGCTCCAGCGTGTTGCAAACGCAGTCTCCCATGACCAGTGGAGTCAACCTCACACCAGCAGTCAACCCGCATGGTAAGGATAGGCAACCTTCCCAAGGGTACCCTTGCATCCTTGCCTCCTCGGGCCATCCTTGGCCGATTTCGTCGGCCGCGCCCCGCTCGAAAAGCCTTGAGATGGCCTTCCGAGGCCCCTGCGCCCTTACCGCGCATCCTTCTGATGCGGGCTGACTGCGCTTGCAGACGACGACGAGCGACGCGCGGGAGTCCGCGCGGGGTTGGGAGACTGCCCCGCCGCCGCGGCGGCCTCGAAGAGGCTGTCGGACCACGGAGCGGGACTCCGGTGTGGGACTATGGGTGCCCGTGTGTCGGCTCGTCCCCTGAGCGGCCCCGGCCCGCTTACTCCTCCTCCTCTCGGCCGTCGCTCCGTCGTCTTCTCCTCCCCTCTCTGCACGGTGGCACAATTCGCTTCCAGGCAGCCCCGTCGCTTCCTCGCTGGCGCAGTGACTCTGCCCAGCCGCCGACGTGAAAAGTGCGTCGGCGCGCCTGGTTTCGCAAGAGGCGCAAGTCTTGCGCACCCACGAGGGACCAGCGTCTTCAGCCAGAAACGAAGCCGCACATTTAGTCAGATGTCGCATGATGTTTGCGCGCGTTTTATTTCCCACGTTCGCACTGCGTGTTTGCACCGCTTCCCGGCGTGACAATGCCTTGCCAGCGCACCATCCTTTCACAGAACGTCTCCCCCTCCTTCTTACACCCCTCGATCCTCACCTCTACCACCTCCACCTGAGACAGGCGGTGCGCGCCTGGCGTGGTAGGCGTGCGCGTAGAAGTGGATGTGCCCGAGCCTTCGGGCGCGTCGCTGGGCGACGCTCTCCCTCCCCTCCTCTTCATCTCCGCCCACCCCTGGGATTGCACTGAAGTGTTCGTGGCCGCTCCAGCCAGCGGTGCAGATCTCATTGCACGAAAGACAGCTGGGGGGTGGGGCGGGAGCTCAGAAGGAATGCGGAGAGGGTTGAGGGAAACGACATTCATGGGGGGACACAAAAACACAAACACAATGAATCGTCGATCCCCTGGAAAATATGGGAAAGCATGGGAAGCGGAGGGAAGACGAAGACCCAGAACATATCAGAAGATCTGGGGGATCTTGGGATGCGTGTCTATTTCTTCGTGTGCCCCTGCCCCCTCTGCAGACAGGGAGGCGGCGGTCTGCAGCCGCGCGCTCGCTCCCTCTCTCGTGCGAGGGTCTCGGCCCCGCGGGCCGCAAGGCGCTCCGCAGAACCTGGGAAGAGGCCGCCGTGGCGGAGGGGGAGGGGATGGAGGAGGACGGGATACAGGGGTCTACGACGTGGGCAGTCGAGGAGACAACAGCATGGATCGAGGCGCGTGGATCAGCGGCGGGTCCCACTCCTTCTCGTGGGGGTCTGGGCCCCGCGGGCCGCCGTGCGCTCCGCAATTCTGGGGAGAGGCAGTTGTGGCGGAGGGGGAGGGGAGGGAGGAGGACGGGGTAACGGGTCTCGGCGGCGAGCGAAGGGGGGGGAAGTGTGAGAAGGAGAAGGCTTTCTCGGAAGGCGGCGGGACGTCTCAGAAGCCTTTTGCGCCTTCTGTGAGGCTTTTGTTTGTGTCGTTGGGGAAGGCTTCGAACACTTCTCAGAAGGCCGAGAAACTTACGAGCCTTCTGAGAAGGCCCGCCCCTTCTCATATCCCCCCAGGGCGCGCCGCCTAATGTCTGCGTGGGAAGTCGAGGAAACGAAGACACGGATGAAGTCGCGTGGATTGGCGGCGGGTCCCGCTTCCGTGAGTCGGCGCGCTCCGTCGCCAGATCGGGCGGCGTTGGCGCCATGTGTCGGGAGGTAAGGTCCGCGATCCGTGGATCTGGCGCCCACGACAACTCATCAGACTCAAAACTTGCCCAGCTGAGGCTCAGAGCGAAGACCGCCACGGATGCGAGCGATGGCGGACTCACACATGGGCATTGGAGCGCCCTGCGAAGTCAGAGCCCATCGCTGGAGCATCTGAAGCAATGATAGTTGAACCAACAATGAGCTCCATGAGAACATCGCAATGCGACGCGTCTATGTCGTTCAAAGCGCCCTCCACCATCACCACCACTGAGCCAAGCATCTGGAAGGACGCGTGGGCAGAAGAGTGCGCGATTGGAAACTCCTCTTGACAAATGCAAAGAACGTTGCAGGGCGATTGCGTGCAACAAGAAGAGACGGAGGAGGAGAGGAGGAGGGCGAGGAGCG